AGAGAGGCGGAAGCTTCAATCCTGGCTAACTAATCCTTGAAGGTTTCGGACAAGTGCACCTGGAACTAATATAAACCCACGTCATTCCACCCAGTATGTGCTGCACATTTGCGAAACTCCACAATGTAGGCCTCCGCAGGCCGTCAACCTTGTTGCAGGGTATGAAGGGTAGACTCAGCTGTAGCAGCTCTTTACAGGCCACCATAGAGGGCAGCCAAGGCTTCAAAGAATGTTGTGACAGAATTGAATGCTGGGTTTTTTTTGTATAAGCAGGCTGTGAACCCAGGATTAGGGTACATTGGAGAAATGGTGAACCCCACCTTGACAGTCTCAAGTACAAAAGTCCTTGGTTGCAGGGCAAAATAAAGTTCACAGGCATTTTTGAAGGCCTGAATTTACATCAATCACCTGAAAAGCATTCTGGAGTGGGGAAACTGGGCTCTGGAGATGGTAAACCTTCAGCAGATATAACAGTCGGTGGGTTACTGGAAGGTGCTACTGCGGTAGTAGAGCGAGCAGTAGGACTCTGGTCAGCCGAAGGTAGGGAGGCGGTGCATATGAGAAGACATCCTTGCAACTGGAAATAGCCATCCTGCATGTTCTTCACGGCTTCATGGCTGTGAGAGCAGCCATCTGTTGACATACAGCTTCCAGGCTCCAACATGATGGCTTGCTGATACTATCACGTACCTGGTGCTGGAGGCTAATGGTGAGAGGGCTTCCCTTGCGACTAAGTTCCAGACTCCCCTGAAGGTGGAATATGAGGAGTCAGGCTCAAAGAAGCTGGAGATACTTGTAGTGATGTTCTGACTGGAATGTTGTCAGAGGAGACTTCCAGGTATACAGTTCAGGCATTGTGAAGGTGTCTTTAGACAGGTGGCACCTGTGGGAAGTAGAAAGTCTCAAGCACAGCAGAGGAGAAGAGCCAGTCCAAAGCAAAGGTCAGGTACCAGGTGTGCACGAGGGCATGAGTAGTCAGGAGGATAGCCAGAGTCATACACAGGAATGCAAAGAGACAGTCTGTTAAGTTGCGGTCAGATCAGGAGGCACACAGAAGACTAGACCAGAGACAGTAACGGGTATCCACAGATGCACAGGGTAACACAGGAACAAATGCACTGGAGAGCCAAAGATTAACCAACAATAACAGAGTTTGACTGGCTTCCTTATAAAAGCCATTTGGCACCAATCTGGGCTGGAAGCGTGCATGGCCAATTACCAGTGCGTGCTAGTGCGCATTCCTGAAGCCATGTAAAGTACTGGCAGGAATACCAGGTCTTTGTGTGCCTCTGCTGTAAACAGTACCCTGACATATTTTCCATACAGTGCACCCAATGAAAACGTGCGCGTACTACGCAAGCTGACTGCGTTCTCCCAGAAAGTTCCAGGTAACTATAAAGACACCACTTTCATGGGAACTCACCACCTGTGAGAATATTCACGATGATCATTGCATAAGCCCCTTATAATTTCAAAGTTTATACTATTTTGTGTCTTCTACACTATCTCTACTAGGTAAAACAGTGAGCGACAAGTGATTTAAGCATGTAAGGCACAGTTACTGTATATACATGTTGTAATGAAGCATATTCTGTGCTTCCTTGCTTTCAATGGAGTGCAGGGGTGACAGACGGTCTAATAGACCTCTGATGGCTCATTAAAGATGTCCCTCGGACACAGCGGATCACCGATTAGCGGAAAGAGCCGATAACTTCAGCTCGGTCATGTGATCAGCTGTGTCTAATCACAGCTGATCGCATTTAAATAAGGAAATGCCGGTTATCTGCATTTCTCTCCTCACGATCTGTCACGCTGACAGCTCGTGAGGAGAGCAGAGCTGGTAATTGGCATTCCTCAGAGGGGACATCTACACTGATCATCAGGGCACTGATGATCAGTGTAGCTCCATCAGTGCCCCTTGTCATTGCCCATCAATGCCACCTGTCAGTGCCTACCAGTGCACATCAATGCCACATATCAGTGCCCATCTGAGCTGCCTTTCAGTGCCAACTATCAGTGCCAGTCAGTGCCAGTCAGTGCTGCCTATGAGTGCTGCCAATCAGTGCCAACTAACAGTTCCAGTCAGTGCTGTCTATCAGTGCCATATATGAGTATTGCCTTTCAGTGCCCATCAGTGATGTCTGTGAATGCCCACCAGTGATGCCTGCCAATGCCCATTAGTGCCACCTACCAGTGCCTTCTCATCAATACCCATCAGTGCCCATCACTGCAGCCTCATTAGCGCACGTCAGTGAAGGAGAAAATCTATTCCTTCACAAAATTTTATAACAGAAACGAAGAAAAAAACTTTATCATAATTTTCAGTTGTTTTGGTTTATCAAAAAATGAAAAAAAACAGTGGTAAAGAAAGCTTTATCTGTCTCAAAAAAATGATAAAAATGTCATATGGGTACAGTGTTGCATGACCGCACAATTGTCATTCAAAGTGCGAAAGCGCTGAAAATTGGACTGGGCAGGAAGGGGGTGAAAGTGCCCGGTAGGCAAGTGGTTAAAGCATAGTGTATGGATAATTTTGGGTACTGAAATTTGTTGCAGTTTCAAAGGCACATGCAGTTTTAAGACTTGACATGTTGGGTATCCATTTACTTTTCACAACCGCATCTTTTGAATGGATAATATATTGTGTTTGTATGCACCAAAATTAATTTCAGTTCAACGTAATAAAATTGGAACTACCACCTTTTTATTCTAAGGCGTCTGCTACGTATAGAATAAAACAAAAAACTATATCAAACATTGAAGGACAAACATTTTGTATGATGTGCAGTGCCATTTGACCTCCAAACATTGTGTGTATTATGGCATCCAAAGAGTTCAATTTTGATCTCATCTTACCAGACTAGATTTCTCAGGCCTGTCTAAATGTTGTGCAGCAAACTAAACGAGCTTCAACATGCTTTTTCTTTTCTTTGTATGCACCAAAATTAATTTCAGTTCATTTTTTTTTCCTGAAAATTTTAGTTACCACCTTTTTATTCTAAGGGGTCTGCTACATATAGAATAAAACAAAACTATATCAAACATTGAAGGACAAACATTTTGTATTTACACCCTTTAGGTTTGCTAAAATAAAGATATGATTGCTTCTTTTTACCACTTGACGATTATGTTGTCATGTGTTGACCAGAAATGTGATTTAATTTTCATTCACTATAATAGCTCTTTAAATGGGCTTCAGAAGAATACCTGTGAGAATGATGGATTCATTCAACCCCAGTGAATTTTCATTAATAGTGAATGAATCCATTACATTTCTATTTACAATGAACTCTGTTACAATGACACACTCGAGTTCACTCTGTCCAAGACCAAATCTTGTTCCAAGGGAGCTTTACCATTGATTTCATGCAGCATGTCAGCCTATGGGTAAAATGAGATGACTTCTTTCCATGCCATATACAGAAAAAAAATAAGTATTGAACACGTCACCATTTTTTTCAGTAAATAGATTTCTAAAAGGTACTATTGACATGAAATTTTCACCACATCAGTAAATCCATACATACAAAGAAACCAAAACAAATAATTTCAGAAATTAAGTTATGTATCATAAAATGGAATGACATCGGGAATTTGCACTGAACACGCTAACTGAAATTTAATACTTACTACAAAATCCTTTGTTGGTAATGACAGCTTCAAGATGCCTCCTGTATGGAGAAACCAGTCGCATGCATTGCTCCGGTGTGATTTTGTCCGATTCTTCCACACACACAGTCTTCAAATCTTGAAGGTTCCATGGGCATCTTCTATGAACTCTGATCTTTAGTTCTTTCCATAGATTTTCTATTGCATTCAAGTTAGGTGATTGACTGGGCCATTGTAGCTTTATTTTCCGCTCTTTGAAACCAGTTGAGAGTTTCCTTGGCTTTGTGTTTGGGATCATTGTCTTGCTGAAATGTCCACCCTCGTATCATCTTCATCATCCTGGGAGATGGCAGCAGATTTTTATCAAGAATTTCTTGGTACTTTTTTCCATTTATCCTTCCTTCAATGCAATGAAGTTTGCAAGTACCGTATGCTGAAAAACAGCCCGACACCATGATGCTCCCACCTCCAAACTTCACTGTTGGTATGGTGTTTTTTTCAGGGTGATGTGCAGTGCCATTTGACCTCCAAACATTGTGTGTATTATGGCATCCAAAGAGTTCAATTTTGGTCTCATCTTACCAGACTATATTTCTCAGGCCTGTCTAAATGTTGTGCAGCAAACTAAACGAGCTTCAACATGCTTTTTCTTCAGCAACGGAGTCTTGTGTGGTGAGTGTGCATACAGGCCATGGTGGTTGAGTGCATTATTTGTTTACTTTGGAACAATTGTACCTCCTAATTCCAGGTCTTTCTGAAGATCTCCATAAGTGGTCCTTGGCTCTTAGAGGAGTGAAAAGAATTATCAGAAGAGCTGTGTCAGAAATCTTGCGAGGAGCACCTGATCAGGATTAGTGCCCCAACAGTGCTCACTGTAACACCAGATTAGTGCCCCAACAGTGCTCACTGTAACATTCAGACGTTTAGAAACCCTTCTGTAACCCATGCCATCAGTATGTTTTGCAACAGTAAGGTTTTTTTTTGAAGCTCCTGAGAGAGCTCTTTGCTTTTCATGAGATGTTTTGTTTGTCACGTTGGTATACCTTTTTATAGGCAATCAGTTGAGACTGAACCAAGATTAATTTGCACTGACAAGGGACAGGATTTCTAATTACTGATAGATATCAGCCAGTGACTTGGCTTTCCATGCCTTTTTGCACCTCCCTTTTTTTGTGTGGTCAATAAGTTTTGCCGGGTGTCATTAAATTTTATTTCTGAACTTGTTTTGGTTTCTTTGTATGTATGGATTGCATAGGTTGTTACCGACGTGGTGAAAATGTCATGTCAATAGCACCTTTAGAAGTACACTATATTGCCAAAAGTATTGGGACACCCCTCCAAATCATTGGATTCAGCTGTTTCAATCACCTTTATGGCCATAGGTGTATAAAATCAAGCCCCTAGGCATGCAGACTGCTTCTACAAACATTTGTGAAAGAATGGGTTGCTCTCAGGAGCTCAGTGAATTCAAGCATGGTACTGTGATAGGTTGCCACCTGTGCAATAAATCCATCCCTGAAATTTCCTTGCTACTAAATATTCCATGGTCAACTATTAGTGGTATTATAACAAAATGTAAGCAACAGGGAACAACAGCAACTCAGCCACGAAGGTGTAAGCCATGTAAAATGACAGAGCAGAGTCAGCGCATACTGAAACGCACAGTGCACAGAAGTCCCCAACTGTCTGCAGAGTCGATAGCTAAAAGACTTCCAAACTTCGTGTAAAAGACTTCCAAACTTTGTGCACTGTAGTTGTGCTAATCTGAAGGTCACATGGAGAACTTCATGGAATGGGTTTCTATATGGCCGAGAAGCTGCATCAAAGCCTTACATGACCAAGTGCAACGCAAAGCATAGGATGCAGTGGTGTAAAGCACGTCACCACTGGACTCTAGAGCAGTGGAGACATGTTCTCTGGAGTGATGAATCACGCTTCTCTTTCTGGCAATCCGATGGATGTGCCTGGGTTTGGCGGTTGCCAGGAGAACGGTACTTGCCTGATTGCATTGTCCCAAATGTAAAGTTTGGTGGAGGTGGGGGTTACGATGTGGGGTTGTTTTTCTGGAATAGGCTTGGCCCCTTGGTTGCAGTGAAGGGAACTCTTAAAGCGTCAGCATATCCAGGCATTGTGGACAATTTTATGCTCCCAACTTTGTGGGAACAGTTTGGGGATGGCCCTTTCCTGTTCCAACATGACTGCAAACCAGTGCACAAAGCAGTATCCATAAAGGACATGGATGAGTGAGTTTGGGGTGGAGGAACTTGACTGGCCTGCACAGAATCCTGACCTCTACCCGATAGAAACCCTTTGAGATGAATTAGAGTGGAGACTGCGATCCAGGCCTTCTCGTCAGCCATCAGTGCCTGATCCCACAAATGCGCTTCTGAAAGACTGGTCAAACATTCCCATAGACACACTCCTAAACCTTGCGGATAGCCTTCCCAGAAGAGTTGAAGCTGTTATAGCTTGTAAGTATAGTGTATTTGTATTTACAGTATATGATAGAGTTTGGGATAGAAGTACCATTGCAGTGGACACCAAGCTTTGTAGTGGAATAACTTACAAGCCAACCTCGATTTAATGCACATTACACTATCTAATTGGGCTACTATGTAGCAAATGAGGTTTAATATTGAAAATGTAAAAGGTATACACTTAGGGACTAAAAACATATGCATCATACATTCTAGGGTGAGAAAAACTGGGGGAATCAATGATAGAGAAGGACCTAGGTGTTCTGATAGATCCTAAACTTCATAATAGAATGTAATGCCAAGCTGCAGTTTCTAAAGATAGCAAAATACTGTCTTGTAGTAAAAGAGATAAGACTCCAAAGAAAAAGGCATCATTTTGCCCCTGTACAAATCATTAGTATGTCCTTATCTGTAATATGCAGTTTAGTTTTTGGGCATCATTTCACAAAAAGGATATTGGAGAACTGGAGAGTGCGCAGAGAAGGGCAACTAAACTGATAAACATGGAGGAGCTCTGCTATGAAGAAAGATTATATTCTCTCTGGAGAATAGGAAATTAAGAGATAATATGATCACAATCTATAAATACAAAAGGTAGCCCATATAGTGAATTTGGGGTAGAATTATTCACTTTCAGGTCATTACAGAGGACAAGGGGGCACACAACATTTAATCTGCACATACAGAAAGACTTCTTCACAGCAAGAGCTGTAAAAATGTGGAACAGGTTCCTTCAAGAACTAGATCTAGCCTGCTCAGCCACTTTTTTAAACAACTGGATGTATTCCTAAATGCACAAAATATAACTGGATATTGACATTTATAGGTAATAACACCAGAGATTATTGATCCAGGGAATATCCAATTTAAATTTTTTCCTCACTTGAGCAGATTGGATCATGCTTTACAGGTTTTTTTTTTACCCTTGTCTAGATCAACTGCGGGTACAGGATTGTGTATATGAAAGCACTCATTTAATTTTTTATTGGTTGAACTAGATGAACGTATCTTTTTTCAACTTATCTATGTAAGAATACAGAAAGATAGGAACACAGAGAATCATTGGGAATAGACTGGATGACACTGGGAAAAATGTGGTAGTGATACAGGAACAATAGGAATCCCCGAGACACTAAATCTCTCTGAAATTCAGGGACACTAGGAATCTTAAGGTAATCTTAGAATTCTCTCAAAGCCAGGGACAGAAGAAATTTTGAGGTCACCAACAAGCTTCTCGGAAAGTCAAGCACACTAGGAACACACCAGCTGTTGCATGAGCATTGCCTAATTGTCGGTGTGTAGCTGACTGAATCAACAGCAGGTGACTACAGTATTAGTCCTGTGGGATAACAGGTAACATCAATACCTTGCAAGTTAAAATAGAATTAAACCCCCCTATCTTTTTTTAGCCATGGAATCTGCCATCTCAGCCTCTGTTTAATTTTCAAAATTGTAGTAAACTCTGGCAAGTAAAAAAAAAAAAAAATCCCCTTCAAGGCAATGGCAAAATGTGCTATTATGCATTGCACACTAGCACACTTTGGAAAACTTACCTTAAAACGAAGCTGACCGCTGACAGGGCTTCCATCTTCACCCAGTCTTCCTTCCAGGTTCTGAGTCCCCGGTCCATTGAATAGCCAAGCCGCAATGGTGTCACTACCACGTACATGCCGACTATGGCACAGATTATGCCAGGAATGTAACGGTTTTTGGAAAATATTAAATTTGTGTGTTCAGTTCTGGTTTAACCACATCCCTGCCACCCTATAGTAGAAATACTGTTACAGGGCAGCCGGGGTATGCAAAAATATATATACACACCTTATTTTGCATTTCCGGGTAGAGGGGGCGCACGCCCCACCTGCGCCACCATTCGCGGCCACAGATGTCAATCACCGGGTCCCGTCCGGTGATTACAGAGGATCTCCGACGGGGAGGAGGGCTGCTTTGTTTACTAACAGTCCTCCTCCCTGTCGGCTCAAGCACACTGCTCTGGATGGCTGTGCACAGCACAGACCCGAGTGACCCGAGTGACATCATCGATGTGTGGTGGCCCTGCCCCTTACCTATTTAAGAACTGACAAACCACCGGAGCAGGCAGAGGGCTGGCAGCCATCGTCAGGAATGGAACCTTTTTCTTTCTTTTTTTCGGGTCGGCAGTGGGCATCCTGATTGACATTGGATCTACTGCGGGGGACATGCTTTTAGTTTTTTCTTTTAATAAAGGCCTTGTCAAAGACTGTCTCCTATCTTTTTTCACTCTACACTTTGTTTTTTGTGAATGAGCATCGGGACCATGTACTCCATACTCATTCACATGGGGGGGGGGGGGCAGGATCTGGGGGCCCCCTTGTTAAAGGGGATGTCAGGCTCCTGTCCACGGCAGAAGTTCTGGAAGATCTGGCATTTCTGCCAGTACCCTGCATGGCCGCAGAAGCACGCATCAGCCTCAGTTTGGTGCCAGACAGCCTTTATAAGGAGGCTCATCACTTCCTCAAGTTACTGGATGATCTCTAGCTCCCCGTGCCTTGTCCCGGTTTCCTGTGATTGTGACCTGTGATTTCCTGATACCTACTCGGCTTGCTCCTGGACCTGTCTACTCTGATTTACCCCTGATCTGACCTCGGCTTGGCTTACAGATACTCTCTCACTCACTCCTCTGTGTTTGACCTCGGCTATCCCATCTGACTACGTCTGCTCTGATTCCCACCTGGTACCTGACCTTGGCTTGAACCGACTACCCAGTAAACATCTAAATCCCAGAAGGGCTTGCATACCACGCACAAGCGCCTCCTGTCTGCAGACCTATCTCCGTGCACCAGCTGTGCTTCTGAGTGGACCACCAACCAGCACTCCTACAGCGACCTGTGCAACTTGGGCCTGACTCCCGCTGTCCCACTCTCAGGGAAGTCCAGAACTTAGCCGCAAGGGAAGCCCTCTCTCCATTGGCCTCCATCACCAGGTACGTGATAGTGGGCTTCCAGATTCTGATAAGTCCCCTGCCTACAGACCCCCACAACCACCGGCCAGGGTTGTGGGGAAGAGGCTCTTGTCCCCCAGCAACATTATTATGGTGCCTGTTTTTAAATGTACTTACCGCTTTTTTTTTTCTTCACTATTGCTCAGAAATTCAGCTCTCACTTTTCCCCCAGCTAAAAGAGAAATTTTTCTTTTAGTTTATTTCCCCAAGTTAACAGAAAAATGGTTTCCTTTTAGTTTCTTAAAAGAAACAAAGTTTCCTGTAACTCCAAGGAAAGTGACAGCTAATCTTGTGAGCTATAGTAAAGAAAAGAAAAAAAAAAAACTGGCAATTGCATTTAAATATCAGCACTGACATACACTTCGTATTGTGAAAACAAATTGTAAAAAACTCAAACCGAGGCATTATTTTCAATGGAATTTCATTCGTAAACCGAAAATTAATTAACCGAGGCATTCGTAAACCGAGGTACCACTGTATATGTAATAGTATACGTGAGACTCTGTTGTGACTCCGGGGAAGGTGCTACTGATAGTATTATAGAAATCTGTATCCAAAGATGCTTTTCTTTAGAAAAATTATGAAATCTCCATAATATGGATACAAAAATAAAACATGACGGAGGCGCTAACTGAGGGGTTCTCAACATTTCTAACTAAGAGCCAGTTCACTATCAGACCCAGAATGTGGCCAGTGAGAGTAGAAAAAGCCTGGTAAACGGTGGAAGTAAACAAGCCCCAGGCTTTGGTGGTTATTGGGGATTAAAAAAATATCTTTGTGCCTGTGGTCAGTGGGAGGTTCCTCCTCCTATTATGTTAGTAGGAAAGAATTGTGCCCCATCATTGTATCAGTGGGAGGAATAGCTTCCTTTATTGGTGTCAGTGGGAAGAATAGTGCTCCATTGAGGGAATATTTTCGCATTGTTCCTGGTTGGGGAAGGAATTGTGTGCCATTATTTGAGATGCAGGCCACCCTATTGTTGGTGTCATTGGAAGTAATTATGCCTCATCACTTATGCCTGTGGAAAAAATACTATCCTCAGTGTCAGTGTAAGGAATAGTTCCCCACCATTGGTGTCAGTGGAAGGAATAGTGCCCCATGAATGGTATCAATGGGGAAAATTGTGCACTGTTGGGTGTTGATGCGAGAAATTGGACCCCATCGTTTGTGTCAGAGGAAGAAATACTTTCCCAAGGGCCAGTAACAGGAAAGTAAAGGGCCAGAGTACTTCAACCCCCTTCCCAAATCCATGCAAAATAAAATTAAAAATGTGGCTGGTGTTGGGCTTTATATTTTAAAATACAATTCACCAAAAACCATTATAGCTCCCTTTTAACAGTATGAAAAAAAAAAAA